TTGGCAGAGAGAACTAACAGATTGTCCAAGAACTGCTAAGAACACAGGTGCTCTCTTGGATGGCAATAGGAGATTTACAATCTTCTCTGAGCTTCATTCTCTACAAAAATTTTAAATACATGTTTCATTACCTAGGATAAAAAGACTTCTCCAAAACTGCTGTGCTGATCTGAAATGAACCCAGAAGCATAAAGAGTAGAACACTGTGCCTATAAAGTGTCATGATGCTGTGTCCACTTCATTCCTTGTAATCTAGCACCGTCCTCACTGTCCTTGGTCAGATCCGATCTATCTACCCCTCTACATTACACTTTTCTCTGACTCCAAACTTTTATATTACATAACAATGCTCCCTTCAGAAACTTTCTGGAATCCTGAGGTCACGCCGTATTGCACAAGCTTGCAAGGAACATTGAATTTATCAAAACTGACCTTACCAACTTCAAAACCCTGAAGCATATGGTGAACTTATGGCTCCATTTTATTATTCACAAGTCTATGGATAATAATTAAATTCAAACGGTTAAAACAAAAAATATATTAGTGACTGCCTCAACTTATTAAATGATCATAGCAACTTAAAGTTCAAAACATAAAGACCTATCTCTTTGCTAAATTAAAGTAAGGAAAATCATTTCCCCTCTATTTTATTCATTTCAGCTTCAGCAGAGATTACAAGTAGATAGAGCTAGAAGTCCTCTCGTTGCAGGCTCTTCATGGGCCATGTTTTCACAATATGGAGGTCCTGCTACCATCATTTTATTGGAGGGTAAAGCAATACAATAATAGTGCTCTTGTGTTTTCCCTTTTCTAAGGGGAAGGCAATGGATCACAATAGAATTTATCAAAGCCAAATAATGTTCCCTGACTCATATTGCTGTAACTAGCAAAAGAAAATAGTAGACTTTAAGTTAAGTGGAAAAACAGGAGTATAACTCCTGCACAAAGTTAAATACTAGTTTTAGCTTTTCAAGGATGCCCGTCAGTCTGTGTATATTTTGAGTTCATCCCTTTAGCTCTATATTAATAAAGAAAAAAAATAGTTCTAACAGTTAATTGTGACTGCATATTTCCCTTTGATGGAATAAAAAACATCATGGATAAAGTATAATTTTGCCTACCTCACAGAGTGACATAAAAGACAATTCTCTCACTTTAGGAGTAAAATGTAAATATAAACAAGTAAGGAAGACTTTTAAAGTCCTGTTCATTTTTAATCAGATAATTATGTGCACTCCAGTATTCAAGACTTTTCTTATTCTTGTATGCTCATCCTTCATATTTAGAAGAATTTAATTTTGATTCATTTGAATTCTGTGTTCTAGGAATACCCATGTTTAGCAAACTTTGGGCTCTCAAGTACATAACATCTACTCTATTTCATTATTGATGGTCACCAAAATTATTATAGGAAATCTTACAAAAATTAAATATTGCATTTTCAATCGTCTTCTCTATTTCTATATCTCTAAGAATATCACCAGTTCTCTGATGATACCAGATGTTTCCTACTATGGAATTCCTTATGCCATGGATTCCCAAACATTGTGTATACTCCAATGATTTAGGGAGCTTTAAGAGTGCTGGTATCTTTGTTCCATTCCATATCAACTAAATTAGAAGGTGATATTGGGCATGTATATTAGTTAGAGATCTTCTTTCAATGTACAGCATATCATACAGAGAACTATGAACCTGAGATTTTATTTTTAAATTATTTTATTTTATTTTTTTACTTCTACCTTAGTTCATAAGATAAAATGATATCTAGAGAAGGATTAATAGAACAAATAAAATGGTTTGGGGCTGTAGCTCAGTGATATAGCAATTGCCTAACATGCATATGCCCTGGGTTCAATCTACAGCAACACACCTACATACACACAGACACACACAGAGAGAGAGAGAGAGAGAGAGAGAGAGGGAGAGGTGATGGAAATTATGCACTGTCAATTAGGTCATTATAAACTGAAAACCAAAAACATTTCCAAAGTAAAATTTTCTACCAAACATATCTATACATTAACTGTGAAGTCATAAAAAAGTATATTTGTGGACAAGAAAGCTCTCAAAACTTCACAGCGTTATGCATCATTTGTCAAAAATTAATGAAAAATATGTTCAATTAACATGAAAAAATAAATCAGGAAAAATGAAGGAATGGGAACTATGGAAGAGGATCCCACAAAACAAAGCAATGGAATTAATTTCCAATGGGATGTTAGAGAAGTCATGAACTTCAATCAAGGAATAGTTGCTTTGCTATAAGGCAAAAAATTCTGGATTGTTAGTCTAAAAAAAAATAAAGTTAACAGAATATCTGATGAGTCTAAACATAATGAAACATAATTTAAGAAACTTCCAAACTTATGGATTAACTAATGTTACATGTGGTAAAATCTGGGAAATCTCAAGAAAGTGTACTTCAGAAAAGGAAATTCTATCGTAGAATATTATATGGCTTAGCTTAGCTGGTATAATATTTACACAGCATAATGGTGTAAAAAGTGAACATTAACTGAACAGAAATAAAATTTAACTATATTGCACAGTGGGAAGGTAGATTTATGGACTGGAGGTAAAGAATGATGTATAAAAAGAAAAAGATAAATCCATATCTTCTATGTGAGCATGGAACATATGCTTAAAAGAGAAATATATAAAAGTAGCAAAATGGGGCTGAAGATTTAGCTCAGTGATTCCACCTCCTGCCTTGCAAGTGCAAGGTCCCAAGTATGATCCCCAGTACCAAAAAACAAAAAGTAGTAAAGTAAAAATCTTATGTAGAGAATTTGAGGTAAATATCTAATGAGCTTTAATTAGTTAAAATGACGTCATAAGAAAAGAAGAAAAGGGAAGGATAGCACAAAAGGCTGCTATCTATTTTTTTCTAACAAATAATTTAAAATAAATGTACTCCTAAATAATGTCCAATTAAAATAAATTAATAAATTGATAAAAGGGCTTGGGGCTGTGTGCTCAGTGGTACAGCACTTGACTAGCATATGTAATGCCCTGTGTTCGATCCACAGCGGGGCGGGGGGGGGGGGTTATCAGTCTATATGTGTGGCTTTATCTGACTAATACGTTGAGTTTAAATCAGAGCTATTTTTACCCATTTCACATCCTACTTCACAATATTGTTTTTATTTATATAGCTAGTGGCCTCATAATGAAGATTGGGTCCACATAATGGAATACCTTGAATGTCATATAATGAATATTAGATAAAAGGAAAATATGGTAGGAAAAGACTGATTCTTGGAATTAGATCTGCCTATTGTCTATGTTACTTACTATAACTGATGTATTCTCCGTGGACTGTAATTTCCTAAACTGAAAATGATCGAATATTATTCACTGTCAGGTGTTATCTATGAAGCGTTCTGCACAGCACCTGGTAACAAGAAATGTTCAACACTTTATTGATTCCAGACTTTCTTGCATTACTAGGTCATTGCCTCTTTGTATCTTCCACTTGGTATGAACAGGCTTTTGACATTTAGTAAAAGAATAGGCCTTTGAAAAATCTTTTTATTAATGCTAAATCAGGCTTTTATAAGGGGTTTGCAGAATAGTTGAATTAGGATCTCTATAAGTTCATTCTTCAGAAAGCAACAACAAAAACAGAATGACAAAAACTGGCAAAATTCTTAGAATTAATGTTCAGAACTCTAAAAATTAATCAAAGCATCCAACCATCTGGGGAATGTTTTTTCAAGAAAAACTGAAAATTTTTCTTTAAGAACAGAAGACGTTTTAGCTTGGCCTCACTTCCCAGTGTCACAGTAGCCGTGAAGTCCAGCAGTATTCCAGCAGCTACCAGAAGGAACCAGATTTGGAGCTCCTCAGAAATTCCACACCCAGAGCTTCATCATATATGACCTATCTGGCAGCCCCCAGGAACAGCGCTACGAAAAGTACTTTTCATGATTTCACTTCATTAAAAATTCTCTTGAGAAAAAGTCCCATTCTCAGGGCAGTCGTTAAAAAGAATCAGGGGCTAGTGATTTAGCTCAGTGTTGCCGCACCTGCCTGACAAGCTGAAGGTCCTGAGTTCAATTCCTAGTACTGGAAAAAAAAAATAGAGGCAGAAAATTGTTTAACAACATAGCTGCCTAAAGCTGTGATCCCTATTGGGTCTAAAAAAGCTTAAACAAAACTGAGCCAGATCTGAGAAATGCAGTGTTTATTTTAGTTCACTGGGAGAAGGTCTGATGTATTCTAAGGAACCTAGAGGTCATGGGTAGGTATAGAGTGAAGTCCATGTCCACCAAAGTCCACAAAAGGCCCCAGTCTGGCTGACCTCAGGCCTGGTACCAGATAGGGGCAAAGGGTAAGAAAAGATGTAAACTACCTGGGCATTGAAGCCACGCCTCCAAGCAAACATGAAGCTCCTTGGCAAAGAGCAGTTTATAGATTCAAGTAATTCAGGGAATCTGATCACTCAGCTCACTGGGCTGAGGTTTCAGTGGCCGTACAGTATGGAATTACAGACTTGCCTGCATTAGTCCATTAAACCACAATCAACAGCAACAAAAAATAGCAGCAAACAACTAAGTTGGAGATGGTGAAGGGTCTGGATTCTAGTATTGCCATCTTATATTATCTAGTGCATCCAATTTTCTAAAAATTTATGATACATACAAAGAAACAAGAAAGTATGGCTCATATATATTAGGGAAAAGGGCAACAGAAACTGTCCATAGAGGGGTTTATATGTTGGATTTACTAAATCAGGCATTTACAGAGCCATTAAAGATATCTAGATTAAGGAAATGCAGCCAAGAGAGGTTAAATGCCATATATAATGGTCAGCATCACTCTTCCAAGGAGCCCCTGCACCTTGGGCTTTTCAATCTGGATTGTGTCATGAATGAGTTCCTTCATCTGCATTCATATAATGACATTTCTGTTTTTTAAAACTACTAATAAGAAGCAAGGAATTGTTTGAAAATATAGTAAATATGTATCCTACCATCTTCTAATCTGTTTTTCAGGTCCTCCAGTTAATGTCACATGCAATATATTCATAAACAGCTTTGGCTCTATTGCAGAGACAACTATGGTAAGCATGGTTACTTGTAACATATTTCATACTGGATTAATGTATGTTCACATTAATGGAAACTTTTCTGTCGATGTTATATAATTCGAAACTTAATACAATGAATTTTATAATTTAAAATGAGTGAAAAACTAAGTTGCAATCAACTACAGCTAATAATGTTTCATTTAAAAATGGTATATTGGAAAATATTTGTAAAAAAATAAATTGATTTTTTTTCAATGCAACAATCTAATGTTAAATCTCAAAATAAAATTGTGCTGTGTAAATTACTGGTCTTTTCAGTGTACATTGATATTTTTTAATATATTTTGATATTTAATTATTCTAAACACTTACAAACTTATACTATTATTGTAAGTATTCCATTGGGTCACAGCTATGGCTTTTATCTAGATATCCCTCCAAAGTCTCATGTGCTCATAGGTGGGGCTTTTTGAAGGTGGCTAGATCCAGGCTTTGTGAATATGGATTAAGAGTGTGTTATAACTAAATTGGTTTAGAATAGTTTTGGATATGGATAATGGGAAGGCCCAGCCTGGGTGTGGGTGGAACAACTCTAAAGGTTTGTTTCCTGGGTGAGAGAAAAGGGAAAGGGAAGCTTACTGCTACTGCTTTCTGTCTGCCTTGCAATGGACTTTTTCTCCTCTGCCATGCCCCTGTGCCATGCCATTGTCTGACAGTCAGGCAACATAGACTGAAACCTCTACAAACTGTGACCTGAGACAAACCTTTCTTCCCTTAATTGTATCAGGTATGTTGTCCCAGCAACAAGAAAAGAAACAAAGACTGTTAACCTTTTCAAATGAATGTAGTATTTGCCTGAACATCATAATGATGTTTAAGAATCTACATATATATTTATGAAAATAATATTAAATACCTTCATTTAACATTATTATGTAATCAGGAAGCTTGTATATAATCAAGCTATTAAAGCCAAATAAAATAAAAATGATTATGACAGAATAAGTCTAGCTTGAATTTTCTAAGTTTCTCTAAGGATCACATTGTATCTCTTCTTTGTCTTGAAGCCTTTTATTGAATAATTTGGCTCAAATTAAAGGGAGAAATAGATGCATAAAACAGTATCTGTAAAATTGCCTAGCAGCTAACTTTTTGAAACTATGTGTAACTGCTCTTAAATTATCTAGAATTAAGTTCTATTCCTAAATTTAGAAAAAATAATTTGCTTCAATATTCAAAGTTGATTTTAACTGAAATACAATACAATGGTTAAAGATTTATCAGTTTCCAAAACCATTATTAGAGAATTATGATCATTTTTACATGCTTCAGAATCACATGATAATGAATTTTCTAAGGAAAATAAACTCATCCAAATTATTGTGTTTGGGGGACCGTGCAGGTTTCTGTGTAGGAAAAGAAGATGCCTCTTAGCATTAAATGACTTTTAGGTACCATTTTCTTTAAAATGCTATTCCATTAATATATGCAGTATTTCATCATTTAGTAGCATCTCTGTGGTTTTACTCAAACTCAATGTGACTATACTAAAAGTGTCAGTGGAAAAGAACTAAATTCACATTTTTGAGCATTATATGGATTTATTATAATTACAGTATATAACATGAGTGTGTATGCATGAGTGAAAAATATGGAAAACTGCTTTTAATTTGCTTGTATAACCACAGTATGGTTCTGGTGCATGTACATCTCTAAAGTGGTTATAATCTTGTTTCAGGTTTGGTATATTTTAGATTGTGATTGAATATCTGCTTGTGATTTATATCCCACATTTGTACATATTCAGTCCAAATCATCCAAAGATGAAGGAATTGCTGCTAACTTTGGTCTACTAGATTCCCAAACTGTATTTATAACCCTTGCTAGTTTCTTATTTTAATTACTTTTACATAGGCTATAAAATCCTAAAAGCCTTGAAATGTTTCTCTGTATTTCTCTTTCGCAAGATTGCTGCAGTGAAATACTTTCAACAAGCAATAGTTGGAAAGGTTTATAGCCTCACATGTCCTTCTGGAAAAGGGTAAAGGGATTTGGAACAAAGAAAAGACTCACAATTGTCAGGTTCCTGAAGGTTAATGTTTTTTATGAGATAGTTCATCAGCCTACCTCTAACGTGGTTATAACACACTCTATTATATGACTATACCAGCAAAATTTCTTAACTTCAATAATTTTAGAAGATTTTCTTTATAGGATAATATTCTACAAAACCCTTGCAGAATATTCCTGACATAACTCCCACGGTGAACCTTGCTCAGTTTTATTCCCTTTCTGCAGCACAGCAACTCCACATTTTTATCTATTCCATCATTATACATTTATTCCCTATGAAATCATTTTAGTAGCATATTTCAATCTCCTGTTCATAATCCAAAGCAGCATAGTGAGCATTAAAAAATATTCCATAGTTTAAGTACCACAGAATTAACAAAGCCCACCTTGCTATCCTTCTTTTCGTTCTTTCCTACTCCTAAGCATGTAACATTTTATCCACCCAAATGGTCAGATTCAATATTTGTAAACTTTTAAAACGATCACCTAGAATAGCTTTGATATAGTGTCCATCCATACAGGAATAGGGAAAAATAGAACTCCTGCTTAGCATAGTGGTGCACGTCTATAATCTCAGCACTCTGGGAGACTGAGGCAGGAGGATTGCAATTTCCAGTCCATCCTGGGGAATTTAGCAGCTTCGTGAGACCCTGTCCCAAAACAAAAAATACAAAGGCCTGGTTAGACATCTCCAACAGAAAAGTCATAAAATGCTTTCCTCCCCATGGTTAATTTGACGTATTTTTTCATGAGGTTCATCATCGTGACCCTACAACCAAGTTGTATCCCTCTGCTTTGTTAATATATTAGTTTAAATTAATTTTTATGTGAACGTTTTAAGATATTTTTAAATTGCATTCACATTTATGACACTAAATATGGCTTATTTTTCTTCTTCACTATAAATTACCTAATGCAACCAAGTCCATTAAAATTAAGACAAAGTCTTGTTGTGGCCTGGATGGAGTGTCCTGCAAAGGCCTCAGGCACTCTTAGGCAGGGCTTTCGGAGAGTGGGCGGATTATGTGGGCAGGATAGCTAACTTGCTGTAAGTGAGTGGGACCTGTAGGGAAGAGGCAGGTTATTTGTGGGCGTGATCTCGAAGGGTGTCTCTCCCTTCCTGAGTCTTCCTTTTTCTCTCAGCTTCCTGGATGCCATAACATATGCAGCTTTCCTGTACAGTGTCTGCCATACTGTTTCTTCTTTGGAGCCAGTGAACTATGGACTGAAATGTGAGCCAAAATGAACTTCTGTTCCTTTAACTTGCGATGTCAAGTATTTGTCCCAGCAACAAAGAAAGTGAATGAGACATGTCTCAAATGACCTGTAATCATTCATGAATATCTTTGTGTCTGAGAATTCATATATAAAATAAAACTCAATATTTTCCTAATGTATATGCCTCTACATAACAGTAATTGTAACTTAGTCTTCCATTTCTTAACTGACCAACTATTTCAAACTGCCTCTCCTGGTCTATAACTTGTTTCATCTCATTCCGTTTTCTGTTTTTGTTTTTTTTTTTTGGAATGGAGGATCAAACTCAGGACCTTGCACTTGTGAGGCAGGTGCAGTGCCACTGAGCTAAATCCCCGGCCCTACTCAGTTTTTAAATACAGCCCTAATTCTATTTAAAGTTATTATTTGATACTCTCTCTAAAAGGTACCCTAACTTCTTAAGCCATTTTGGTAAATTAAGTTAACTCAAGTTTTAATATATTTTTTGTCTTCTGGTACCAATTTTTAAATATTTTTTAAAGTATTTTTTGATAGTGTAAGCTCAAATTTCTTTTTAACTGTTATCCTTTCCCAGTATTTGTTAATCTAATTAACTTAATGTACTAACCTTTCTCACTTGAGAATTATTTTTTCTTAGCGTATAGTCATCAAAACTTTTATAACATATATTATGGGAATCTTAAATTGTATATTTCCCTCATATTTGAGCCATATGTCAACATTAAGAATGAGATTCTCTAAAGACTTATTCAGCCTCCATTATTTCAAGTTTATAATTTTCTTAAATGATTTAAAAACTATTGGACATTAGATTTTTTAAAAATTAAATTAAAAAACTAGTTTTCTACCATTAAAGCCATTCTCTTTCCTGTCTGCAAATGTGAACTTGGGACAGAGGTGCATTTGTCTGGCTTTCAAACTTGTAGTGACAGAGGGAACTCATGATTGTTTCTATAATGGGAGGCTTATGATTTTTCACATTAAATCTTAAATGGAGCATATTAATGAAAATCTATGAAGATGTAGATAAAGTTTATATGCTAGAATAAAAGCATTTGTAAACCAGGCTTTAAAAAATCATGTATAACATATTGGGTGTGTATGTATAGCAATATTTCAAAATGATTGTATTGGCTTACCTGTCTAATTTCAAGAAACAGATGGTTTGGCATGATGACATCTGTAAAGAGCTAAAGATTTGCTTTGCTATGGTATTACTTTTCACCAGAGCTTGCAGAATAAATCATTTTTATAAAATAAAAAAGGTCGATAGCTTTGGTGTGAACTTTTCCAGGTGCTTGTATACATAGGTAGATGCCTGGCAAAGTTGGAAGAGAATATCTAAGGGTATATTGTACAAACTGAAATTTTTCAATTTTTGATACAAATGATAGATTCACATTTTAGTTACTACAATGAGTAAGTGCATGTAGATGCTGCTCTGAATTATTCAGTCATTACATTCTCCAGAGATCAGTAAGCAAATGAGGCATAAAAAAATGATAGCATGTTTACATATATTAATGGAATCTTTAGTCTACTAAAGATAACTTTTAAGTATTTTTGATAAAGTTTTAGGCATACAAAGATGCACTGATAATAATATATGTAACACATATGCACCTGTCACCATCTTAAAAAAATTAAACATTACAAATATATTGAAGTTAATTGTTTAACCCAATTTTCTCTCTACTTTCCCAAAGGAAGTTTTTGACATA